TGCTTTCCTCACTACAACAGTATGAAGTGAGTCAGTGCCAAAGCCAGGACTTAGACATTAAGATCAGAATGTTTCCACTATGTCCATGCCCTCTCTCTAAGCAAGTGGAAATTAATTTGTAACAAACCCTGGCAAAGAACTGGTTGGCCACAAAACTCTCTGGGATTTGTAGTTCTTCTTACTTTGGGAAGAGAGGAAGCTGAAGAAAGAACAATCATCAACTGAGGAGAGGGGGTTTTCAAGCATGGCAATGGAAGGTAGTGTGGCACTTTTGAGAACAAGGAGAGACGGTGGCCTTCCCACAGAAACAGCATGAAATCAGAGCAGCAGCAGTAGCAGCAGCAGCAGCTGTCTGCCACATCTGCAGCACCCTTCTGTTAGATCATGAGAAATTACCTCCCCCTGAATGGACAAGCTTGGAGGTAGGTGAGACTGTATGTTTTTTGTTGGGACTCTCTCTCATCCAGAGCCAAAAACAAGTGCAGAAAGAGGAATGTGTCCTGCCCTTCCCCAGCCTCCCTTTCATTCGTGTTTTTCCTAAATTTATGCTGTTGAAGAATGCATTTCCTGAATTTTATATTTCTCATAAACAACTCTATCCAACTCTGATCTTATATTGTCAGGTGATTCTTTCTTTATGCCATGAGAATGTAACAGAAGGAATACAGGAGAGAGGGATCATTCCTAACATAAGACTAGGAGCTCAATGTCAGCCTGTTGCTAGAGAGTGTTACTATTCAACTGAGGGCATAAGCATGACCCAGTTCACAACTGTCCTTCCAAGTGAATCACTTTGAATTTGGGTATAAATCTACCTCATAGATGGGAGTTCAAGTTACATTTTCATTCATTCAACAAGCATTTATTATGTGCTTACTGTATGCCAGACAATGGAGATTCAAAAATAAAAATGAAGTAGTCCTTGCCTCACAGAACACATTCTCTTGGAGGTTAACAACATTTACTTAGATAAGCAAATATAAAACGTGTACAAATGGATAATTACCTACACAAATACAAAATAGCAAGCTATGATCCAAGCTTTAGGTGCTACTGTGAAAACCAGTAAGGCTTAAACTGTGTCTGCAGTCCCAAAAGTAGAAATATACACTGTGTTAATGTTTTCTATAAGCCAGATTGGAGAGAGAGAGAGAGAGAGAGAGAGAGAGAGAGAGAGAGAGAGAGAGAGAGAGAGAGAGAGGAATGGCTTATATTTGGACCAATATAGCAAGATATTGGAAACTGCCTAATGCCTGCAAAGATGGGAATGGATAGGCATTTAGTGTATACAAATTTCATGGAGTACTTTGTAGATATTTAAAAGAGAAAGCATATGGTAGACTACAATGATACATGGAAATGTATTGAAAGCATTAAATAAGTGGAAACAATATAAAATAGTATCTAGATACTGATGGCTACCATGTAAACATATGTGAATATTCATTAACAAAATCAAATAAGAATTGGGAGTGATAGAAATAGAATTGAATGTTTACATAACACATCTATACCAGTGAGTATTTCCTTCTTCTAGAACTGTGAACTAATGGGAGCTGGAAGTGAAGATAGAGGGGAAGTTCCTTGGCTGAAAGAGATGGGAATGTCATTCATTGTCAAGCTGAGTAGGGTTTTGTGTGTGTGTGTGTGTGTGTGTGTGTGTGTGTGTGTGTTTTAAGACAGACTGGACTGCTTTGAGGAGCTACATTTAGATTTTGTAGATCTAGATCTAGATTTAGAGATATAGCACCCCAGCTGATTTGCTGAAGATGGCATTTTTTCCCAGGAGAGGAGAGTGTGTTGGGGGACTGGTATATATAAAGAATGATTCAAATTCCCTATGCAGAAGAGGCTGGAATGCCAGCCTTTGTGACCATCATGAGATATATATATAGATAGATAGATAGATAGATATAGATAGATAGATAGATAGATAATGGAAGTGCCTTGAAGAGATACTAGAACATGTGCAGTCTGTAAGTGGTCTCGGTTTGCTAGCCACATAGTTAGAAGCTCTTTTTGATTGTTTATGCATCAGCAACTGGGGTGCTTTCAAGAGGTGTTGGATGACTTGAGCATTCTCCTTTTATCTTTGACTGCTCTTCTCTTAGTTTAACTCATCTGATGATAGTGTCTGGTGAGAGATAAGGCTCTAACGGCCTTCCCTTCTAGAGGCCTTCATCCTTGGCCTCTGCATTTGTTCTTTTCTCTATTAGATGAAATTATTAAAGAATGAGCATCTCCATGTCTATTTTGCAGTCTGCTCAGCCTAGATGTTCCCAAAGGATTGACTTTTGGGAGTGACCTTTAGAACACAGCATAATGGTTGCTGAGACAGAGAATTCATCTGTTGGTAGATGACACATTTGGGGATGAACTTAGTGGGACTAATGTTAAGTAGGAACTGAGGTAAGTTGGAGCACACTCTCTCTGTAGATGTAGGATAGAAGAGAGTGTTGGGGGAAATGTTTATACATTTGTTCTTGTTATATCTTTGAAGTGTATGTCCTTTTGTGAAAGTGAATTGATTTTATATGGTTAAGGAAAATGAGTCAGTAGTCACTGGCACACGACAGTGGAAGAAATAACCAGTAAATGCTCAAGCTAATGGCATTTAAAAAGAGACACACTCCAAACTCTCAGGGTATCTGGCATCCCAAAAGACAAATATATCCATCCTGTATCTGGGATAGCGGTTTAGAACAAACTTGCTACATGTGTTTTACTGTATCATTTAAATTATGAATTCGACCATAAACAGGTTGATTGGGGGAGTCTCTAATCAATGTAATCAGCTCCTCCAATAAATTTAATTAGATTACAGGGGAAAGTATGAAAGCATCTGAGGGGAGTTTCATACAGACAACTCTGTGACTAGATCATCACCTGATTGAGATGAAATCTTGTCAGAAGAGCTGCCGTGCTCTGAGGTTTATGAAAATGAATAGTGAGACCACTTCTCTTCCTCTGTAGAGGATGGTACAAGAAAGAAAGATTCACCAGAACGTCAAATTCACCTCCCTTCCAACAGGAGCTGATGGGCTATTTAAGTGCTTTACACTTCTTGGAGTGTTTCCATATTTGTTGATGGACTCCTGTGAATATTTTGCAAAATATGCAATAATGATTGTCACATACTCTATATGCATTTGGGACTCTGAGTTCTTATGTAAGAGAAGAAGTCCCTATTACAAGAGTTTAGGCAAACCTAGACATTAGCCAGGAGTATATTAGAGATTATTTTTGGCCATCTCCTTTCTCAGACCACTGTCTACACTTACGCCCATCAGAAACTTTGATTCTACCCTTGCAGTCTCCTCATTCTGATATGTAAGATTTCATGTTATTTTTTTCTCATACCAAGGCCTCTATTCCACTTCCTGGCTATCTTCTCATCATGTCCCCATATGTGTAGTCTCCTTCTCACCATCCCCATTTTCCATCTTCCCCCATTAGAATGTAAGCTCTTGAAGGACAGGAACTGTCTTCCTTACTTGTATTTGTATCTCCAATGTTTAGCACAGTGCCTGGCATGTAATAAGTAATTAACAGGTGCTCTATCTGTCTGTCTGTCTGTCTGTCTGGCACAATGGATAGAACACCAGGTCTGGAGTCAGGAAGATCTGAGTTCAGATTTGGCCTCAGATATTTACCAGCTATGTGACTGTGAATAAGTCACTTAACTCTGTGTGCCTCAGTTTCCCCATCTGTAAAATGATCTGGAGAAAGAAATAGCAAAACACTCCAGTATCTTTGCCAAGAAACCCCAAATGGGATCACAAAGAAGTGGACACCACTGAAATGACTCAATAATGCCAGCTCGCTAGCATCTCGTCAGTGCAGTGAATATAACACTGGGCTCGGAGTCAGGAAGACCTGAGTTCAAATCTAGGCTTTGACACTTACTAGCTGTGTGACTCTGGGCAAGTTACTTAAGCACTGTCTGCTTCAGTTTTCACAACTGAAAAGTGGAGACAATAGCACCTACCTCACAAAGTGGTTGTGTGACAGCTATCTGTAATATTTGTAAAGTGTTTGTAAAGCACTTAGCACAGTGGCTGGCATACAGTATATATTTAATACTTATTTCTTCCTTACCTATCTGTCTGGAAAATGTGTCATCTCTCTTATTATCTTATCTATCAGTCTGTCTGTCCTGAAATAACTCCAGGCAGAGAGCAACAGGACAAAGAGAGATCATCAATCCCCTTGGAGCATGTTGCCAGATTCAGACCAGGTCAACGTGAGTTCATAGTCCTGGGAGTAAGTGTTGGGGTCATGGGTTACACTTGCAGCAAAAATATCCTAGACTACAATGTGATTGATTTCCTTGTGGGTTTCATGAAGTGGGAGAGGAGATGCATCTTAATGAAAAAGTGAGGCAAACACTATATACAGGTATATTTGGATATATTTCTGGCATAAATTCCATGTTGAGGCAAAAATAATTGAGCTCAATTGTGATGAGTTTATGAAATGTTATGCGCAAATTACATTGAAAAACCCTAGACCAACACTAATGGAACCTGGCTTAAGATTAAGGGGAGGGGCCAGGATGCTATTAGCAAATTTCCTAAACTATTTATCTGTATAACATCAGCCCTTGCATAGGGGCAACTCTTTTTGACCAGGCAAAGCATAACATCTTCTCTGTCTCCCCTCTGTACCTTTTCAAATGTGGGTCAAGATTCTCATTTTGATTAAGTCCTTTTCTGTAAAGTTGCACAAATTAACAATTTAAAGAATGCATCAATTTTAAAAAAGGAGGAGTTAGCAGTGCCTAATGAAATGGACAGGTCCAGGGAATGAGAATAGAGAAAGATATTGATTTTGGAACAAGGAGGTCCCTAGTGATCTTTAAAGGCACATGTTCAATGGAGTGGTTAGAGACGTGTTAGACTATGCCTAAGAACCTATTTCTGAGTGAAATTGGTGTCCATGTGTTTTGACTCTTGCTCAAAACAAACGAGAAAACCAAGTTGAAAAAATTCCTTTCCTACCTTCAGATGAGTCTTAACCCATAAAGGAAAATCCATCTTTAGGCTGCACCTAAGATTAAAGACAGTGAAAAGATTACAATCTCTGAAGTTAGTGGATCTGAGTTCAGCTCCTATCCCTGACACTTATTAACTGTGTGATGTTGACAAAGTTATTTAATAGCCTTCAATTTCCTTAACTACAAAATAAAGAGGTTGAACTAGATTTCCTCTGGGCTTCCTTGCACTTCTAGATCCCTAATCCCTTTGATCTGTGAGTATCATTCAGTTCTAGGAAACCTATCTACATATGAGAGAGGTTAGGCTGTTATCTGCCTGGTAAGAGGAGGAGAGTACTAATGATTCTGTGCATAGGAAAGGTTCTTTCAGTTGCTTCAGTTGCAGAGAGCAGTGGAAGTGAGGAACATTTCTGTTGGTGGACTTGAGGATGTCAGAGAGTAAGAAGGGAGCTGGCTGGTGTATTAAAATTAATGGAGTGCAGACTTAAGTGAAAGAGAATGTGGTGAAGACCAGTGGAGTCCATGCTAGGGAGAGATCATATGAGCCTGAGATATGCAGTGTGTTAGTAGTGCCATTGTGTTTGCTCTATTTTCATTTTGGTATGTGTGTGAGCTTTATGGATGTTTGTCTTGGTACTGATTCATGCTTTTGCTGTGTACCAGGGTTGTGCTAATAATTATTTAACAACCAACTATCTTGGGGAAAAAAATGTGCACATGATGCACTTTTAAGTTTAATCTGCATTGCAATTAACATTTTTTTTCATCTCTCTCTCTTAAGTCTAAGCAATCCATAAAACAATAATCAAGTCCTGATTTGTAGCTTTCATTGATTTCGAAGGTGTAAAGGCTCACACTGAAAATTTAACAATCAGCTCTCACTGGTTCAAGCTAGTTCCATCATTCTCTCCTGTTTCTTCCATATTCAGAGTTGAGAAAGTGAAAATGAGAATTCTAACCTGAGCTAGCCTTTTGTTGTTGTTCAGTCATGTTTGACTCTTTGTGACCCCAATCTGGGATTTTCTTGGAGTGGTTTGCCATTTCCTTCTCCAAATCATTTTACAGATGACGAAACTGCGGCAAACAGCGTTAAGTGACTTGCCTAGGGTCACATAGCTGGTAAGTATCTGAGGTCACATTTGAACTCAGATCTTCCTGAATCAAGGCCCACCACTCTATCCATATACCACCTAGCTGCCCCCTAGTGTTGTTTAAATATTATATCAGCTGACCTAATTCCTTGTTTCCCTTTCCTACAGAAAAGTATCGGGAATTGGGTATATGTAACAGAACTCTAAGAAACTGGTCATACTTGTTTGTACCCCAAACTTACTTACCTAAAGCCTAAAAACACAAACTTTTTTCAGCAATGGAAATACTTGCATGCCTTTTTGAAATGCTGATGATAGCTATGTACTGATACAAATTTGAAGCTATTAGCTTCAAATTTGCACTTATTCAATTCTCTTTCCAAGGAAGGGTGTTTAAAAAAAAAATTAAAAAGGAAGGCATGAATACAAATTGAAGCAAACTGCTGAACTCCCATATGCCACTTCCATCTCAAGGTAATAAATAAAACCTCAGACTTTTTTCTTTCCTCCATCAAAAAGGACTGTTTATCAAAATATAAATGGTTATTTATTGAGATGGAAATATAATCCCTTTCTGCCTATAGGCATAAATCTGAACTTCCCTCTCCACCCCACCCCCATATCCCTAAGGGGCAAAGACCTGACAATGACTAATACTGTATTTCTTTGAGAAAGTCTAATGTTAAAGATTAGAAACATAGAGAAATATTGCCAGGATTTTTTTTAAGTGTTGTAATTCTTACCTGAATCTTGGGAGAATGGGCATTTTAGAGTCTTCATTGTATCTCATTTTTCAAAAGAAAAAAGAGCTGGCTTACCATTGTGAAGTGTGGGAAAGTCTCACGTCTCACATTACTGATCAGAGACCTCTCTTTTATGTATAGACATCCCCATCTGCTGGAATGCTAGGTACTTGCTGATAGAGGTTCCTAGGTAGCACTTGGTTGAATTTTTGCATTTCTGGCAAATAAATAGGGAGCAGTTAGTGAAGAACAGAAGCAGTAGCTGTCGACTATTCTAACATCTTGTCAATGAAAGGAAAGAGTTAGAGTCTGCCCATCTCTGAGTTAGGCACCCTCAAGAGAGTAACAAAGGTCTCAGGAGGTCTTTTCAATGATTTCACAACCACAGATCTTATGATGCTGCAATAATCCCTAAAATCATTTGACGCCTTCTGTGCCCTCACAACTCAGGCAATTGACAGACAGCATGGTCTGGCACATGCAGCTTCCCCAGGAACATATGCAAGAAAGGACAAGTCAAAAGGAACAACAGACTGCTGAATACACACTGCTTTGCCACACAGAAAAGCTTCACCTGGCTCTTTCTAGGCTCCAACTACAACTCTGAAATTGCACTGTAGTGAGGAAGCCTAGAAACACCAACCCACAGATTCTGGCTCACCCTGCTTTTTATCTCTGACCTGAAGGCAACATTAGAGTTTGAAAGAGGATGGATGATGCCTTCATTAGCATTAATGGCAAGTAACATAAATGCTGAAAAAGTTAATTATATTTCATGCCTTCCTGCTTGCCCACAAATGTTGTTCCATGACTGGAATGTATACCCTCTTCACCAACATCTTGTAAAATCTCTAGATTCCTTAGAAACACAGTTCGGATACCACCTCCTACATGAGGCCTTTCTTGATCTTCTCACAGTTGCTGGTACTTTCTCTTTCTTGAAATGACCTTCTATCTACTTTGTATTTGCCAACTTGTGAATATATTGAATCCCCCACTAGAATGTAAAGGATAAAAACTTTCATTTCTGTCTTTATATCCTCAGTGCCTAGCACATAATGAGGACTTGAAAATGTATTATTGTATTGGCAACATTATTCCCATGTTACACATGAGGAAATGGGTTCAGAGAGTATAAGTGGCCCACTAAGGGTCACTCAACCGTAGGTAAATTTTATCTGAGTATTTGAACTCCAAAGTGAGGGTTCTCTCTTTTATCCCATACTTTACAATATATCTGTCAAATGGTTATCCTGACTTTACCTGAAGACCTTTAGAGGGAGGCACTGTACTATCTCCCAAGACAGCCCATTCTAGCTTTAGATTGTTCTAATTATTAGTTTTTCCTTCTAATCGGGGCAGCTAGGGGGCACAGTGGACAGAGTGCTGGGCCTGAGTCAGGAAGATGAATCTTCCTGAGTTCAAATCTGGTCTCAGACACTTACTAGCTGTGTGACCTTTGGCAAGTCACTTAATTCTGCCTCAGTTTCCTAATCTGGAAAATGAGCTGGAGAAGGAAATGGCAAACCATTCCTGTATCTTTGCCAAGAAAACCCCAAATGGCGTCACAAAGAATCAGACTCTACTGAAAACAATTGAACTACAAAGACCTAGCTTAAAACAGTCTTAATTCTAATTACCACTTAAGGCTTTCAGTTCTGCCCTCTGGGCAAAATGCATCTAATCCCACTTTCACTTAACAATCATTCAAAGACTCAACTACGAAGTTTTACAGACATTCCTCTTCCGCAAGCTAAACATCCTTAGTTCTTTCCATCAGTCCTCATAGAACATAGAGAAATTGAGACCTGGGAAAGACCTTAATTTAGAAAAACTAAGGTCACCCATTGCATCCTGGGCCATCCTGTCATCTTGACCTTTGTCTTGCCACTGGACTCCAATGTCTCTGGAGGAAAGAGCAAGAGGATGACTTTGCACGCTCTCCCCTACTCAAATCTAATTCACTGGAAAGTCAAGAAAGACATCACGCTAATGATGTCATTGGTCCTCTTTGAGAAAGGACAAACAACAATGAACGGAAACTCCAGGTACTTCACTGAGTTGGTCACACCTCTAAGGAATGCTGTCCAGCTTACCAATTCAAGACTTTTTTTTTAAATAGGTAATTAGGTAAAACTTTTAGGGGCGGGGGAATCAGTACTTGACTAATATTCCTTTTTTTCATCATGGATGTCAAAATGGATTGAACAATTGTTTAAAGTGACCCAAAGAGTGAAGACTATTAACAGACTGTTTTCAGCCTGGAAAGAGGTCTCTAGTAGAGGTTTAAGTGGCACAGTCCTTGGTTTTGTGTTGTTTAAGGTTTTTTTCTGTTATTTTTGTTTTTGTCAATGACATGGATGAAGACAGAAGGTAAAGCTACCCAGAGACCTAAAAGTCTAATTCAAGGAAAGGGAACAAGAATTTATTAGCACCTATTATGTGCCTGGCATGAGGCTAAGTGCTTTACAGATATCTTATTTGATCCTCACAAAAACCCTGTAAGGTGCTATTGTTATTATTATCTCATTTAACAGTTGAAGAAACTGAGGCAGACAGAGGTTAAGTGACTTGCCCAGGGTTCCACAGCTAGGAAATGTTTAAGGCTAGATTTGAATTCAAGTTTTCCTAACTTCAGGTTCAGCACTTTATCCATTGTGCCTCCTTGCAGACCTTGTTCATTTTGATTTATAAATGATTTGAAGCTAAGAGAGAGAGCTACTATATTGAATGATGGAATTGGGAACCAAGAAGATATCTAAAGGCTATAACTAGAAAGGTGGGATAAATCTAATATCCTAAACTTGGATTTTGTAGACCTTAAAGCACCATGTACATGTAAGATATTATTTTTAGGTTCAAAATATCAGGTACTGAGTACATAAGCAAACAAAAAAAATTACATGTGAAAAAGACTTAATGGTCCTAGTGGACTGCAAGCTCAATATGAGTCAGCTGTGTAGCTGTGTGATGTGTTAGACCAAAATGTCAATGTTATCTTAGGCTGCACAAATGGAAATATAATATCTAGTTTAGGGTGGTTACAGTCTCCTAATCCTCTGCCCTAGTTTTACCACTTGCAAAATATTGTTTCTAGTAATGAATAAAGTTCTTCCAGTCCTCCCCAGACCAAAATAGCTAATCTAGAATTCCACTTAGCGGTATCCTGATTGCAGCAGACATTTTATTGAAGTATTTCCTTTAGATCAGAGGTTCCTAACTTGAGATCCATGGATAGATTTCAAAGGGTCCTTAAAACAAACAAACAAAAAAAACCACCTATGCTAATATGATTGGTGCCCTTTGTAAGCATATATAATTTACTCTGTGCATTTAAAAATATTCTGAGAAGCAATTCATAGTTTTCTCCATACTACCAAAGAGGTTCATGATATATAAAAAAAAAGGTATAAATCTTTGGACTAAATTGTAAATCAACTTGATAGAAAGCTGACTCTAGCTGTAATTTGTACTATTTTTTGCTCTTATTTAAAAATTAATCCAGCAAAAGCTGCTGTGCAGTAGGTATGACTGTCCAGAGAATTAAAAGCCTATTTCCCTTGGTAATTTTAACACTAGGTGTAGGAGATTATAATCCCAAGGAAATGAAGCATATTCAGCACCATATGGCACCAAAGAAAGACTTCTTAAGAAGAGTGTTGTGGTATTCTATCTCACACCTCCTGTGTGTTTACACTGAGAAGGAATATTCAGGCAGCACAGATGAACAGCAAGTCTGTCGAATGAGTAAAATTATCTTTCTCTCTAATCAGCTTTTTTTAAAAAGAGGGAGACTTAATGGAGAAATCTCTTGTTCAAAGTGAAAATGATTTGCTTATCATAATGTGAGGAATATGTTTCTAGACTGATTGAGCCAAACATTTCCTTTACACATATTACAACAGTGATGGAGAGTGGTAATAATAATGCCACATTATTTCCTTACTTCAGCTGACTCTTGCTAATTAGATGACAAAATTAGTGCTAGAACACAATAGAAAACAATAACATTGAAGGGTTTTTATTGTTTTTTCTAGTCAAGTAGGCAGCATTTTCCAGACATATCTGATGTTTTAACAGATGCTAATTTTATGCTGCTTTAGAGTTTGGTGAAAATAACCCCCCACCCACCCCGAACACATAAGTGAGCTATTGTCTACTTTTCCAAAGCTAGTCGTTAATTTGATTTGAAAGCTTTCCTCAAACCCTACCTCCTATGCAGGTTGGTAGAACAAGCCTGCCAGCTGTGTAACAGTGAGATCATTAAAAGAGGTTGTTTTTTTTTTTCCTCCCCCAGTGCCACAACTGAACATGTAAATGTCAGTGTCTACAGTTGCTCCAGGCAACTCTAGACTCTCAGGATGTATTTATGAAGTCAAGTTAATAAGAATTTATTGGGCACCTATCATCCATCCAGCACTGTGCTAGCTGCTTTGAAAAACCAAAAATAAGCATAGAGTCCTGTCCCTGCCCTGGAGGTGCTGATAGTCTTGTTGGGAAGGCAATATATATATGCATAGGGTAGCATGGAAAATTGAACTCCATAACCAAGATATAATTTAACCATAAATTTTATGCTCTAGATTTTGTTATAGCTCTAAATATTAGATCTGACCAATATGAAAATAGACTGCCTTTCAAAGTAGTAAGCTCTCCACCAATTGAGATGTCCAAGGGCCTGGCATATAATAAGTACTTAATAAATGTGTGCTGACTGACTGATGTAGCAGGGATTCCTCTATTGGGTGAGTGGTTGCACTACATGGCCTTAAGATCCCTTCATACTGTAAGATTTTATAATTCCATATTGGTGTTATTGTGAAGAAATAATTTTATAAACCAAAAAGAGCTATATAAACATGTATTATTATTACTACCAGTAGAAAGTGTCCTTTTAGTTCAGAATTTTCAATAATTCACACTAGACTCTTTTTAAGAACAGATAAGTGAAATTTCTCTAGATACTTACACAATACTCAGTTTTCTTTGGTAAGACCAAAGTGCTAATGAGCAGCTTACTCCACTCAATTATGAGCTCCTTGAGGGCAGAAACTGTCCTTTGCCTTTCTTTATAACCCCAGCACTTAACATAAGACCTGGCATATAGTAGGTGTTTCATAAATGTTTATTGACTGACTCTAAGCATGTGCATTTCATAGGATCACAGATTTAGATCCTGAAGGGACTTCAAGAACCATCTAGTCTAATAACTTCATT